CACTGGGGATTGCATGAAAGAAGGTATTATTTAAAGGCAAATTTGAGGATTCCCAGGGCTCAACTCTGTCTTCTCCGCAATCTCATTTTTTGAGTGAATGACAGTTTTGTCATTCCTAAGCCATACATTTCCCCAAGAGCCATTTATTCTCTTGAAAATGAAGACAATTTTCCATTTAGAGGCTATACTGTACAAGTGTACCTATTATTACTGGAGTTTATTTAGAACAATGAAGTCCAAAGCAAACAAATTATTTATTTTGGTAAAACTGAAATTCCATGGAAAATGGTTTTAGAGATGTAACTGGAAATTTTTACTCATGGGTCATAAAATCCTCTTGTTGTTTACAAAAAATCTTTCACAAATCTCAGAATGGAGGACTGTTAAATAGGTTCTCAATATCTAAAACCGTGCTTTTGAGGTATTCTTATAAAGGACACACCTCCTACAACTTATAAGACTAAATTTTTTAATTACAAGAAATCTTAATAGTAAGGAATGTCTCTTTTCAAATATGTTTTCCCAACTTTTCCATTTTTTAATACTTAACATTGTAAACCTAGGTTATAATGTCATAAATACAATCATGGATTCTGAAGAAAAGGAAAAAAATTAAACCTGTTTAGAAGGAAAACTCAAAATCCAAAATATAGGTAAATCAGGGGAAATACCTATTCTTGCAACTTTGGAAAATAGTGCCTCAAATTTACATTTAAAAAGACACCATTATTAAAGACCTGACTCAGATATTATTTCTAATTAACATGATCTGCTAAATGTATTCCTTATGTAAACAAGACACATTTCAATAGATATTTCAACAGACATTCTGCATAGACATGTCAGAATGATGAATTTCCTGGCTTTTAGAATTTAATTTGGACAGCACGAAACCTGACTCCTTCTCTGTACACTCATCTGTACACCACAGACCTGTATCTTCCAGGTAAACGGCATCTGATTAAATAAAACAGCAAATATTAATGGCTCTGATCACAAATATATTTCCACACTAAAAATAGTGGTCACGTTGGCTACTCATTTTTATGTACATTGGCTTTAAATGATTTTACTGTTTTCATCGGAATTATGGATTCATTGCCGTAGACTGGCCTAAAGGTGCTTAGACAAACACAGACACTGACGAAGGAACTCACACAGGCTTCACTGATTTATTTTTACCTTGAAAAATGTTGTCACAAATCAATTTCAGGCTGTAAAATGGGGATAATTACTGAATCTATTGTGCACTGCTCTGGGAATAAACACTCCGGACAGAGTGTCAGGGAATAGCTTTGACTCTCCAACATCTGCACTTTCCAGTGGCTGACCATGTTTGGTTCTCACCTCTCTATTTGATGCACTTTCCTAAAAACTTTCCTTTACTTTAGAGGACAACATTTGAAAGCAGAACCCCAATGAATGGCATATCACCCTGGTTAAAAACTAAACTGGGCAAAGTGAACCTCTGGGAGTTTAGAATGAACCAGGAGCAGCACTTGGGAAGAGAAAGGAATTTCCCAAGATACACAGCTCTTAAAAATCTCCTTTGCAAGTCTCCCTACATGTAGGATGCTGGCCCAATCTTCCAGAGAAACGGGCAGGAAAATTATCCAATCCTGAAGTGACCCCTTCATCCCTCATTTCTTCAGAGCCCACAAGAAATGGCCTCTCATAAGTACCGGGCTGCTGAGAGTGCCCTAAGATTGTCCCCCACAGAGACAAAATGGGGTCAGATCATTAACGTGGAGGGCTTTGGCCCCACAGTTGGTGGCCCTCCTGCCCTCCCCTCGCCCACTCCTGTCCAGCTCTGTGCGACTCCATCCCAGGCTCCCTCCAACAATGCACTTGTGTGCTACCTCTTTTAGGGATGAGGGGGTCAGACAACTCTTCTTAAAGAGTATCATTTGCAAATGAGGCAGGGCTAAAAGGGTAACCCACAAGCACAGACAGCAGTCAGGGCCCCACTCATGTGATCCCGTCCATGGAAAGTAGGTGGAGCAGGCTACGTCACTCCACATCCCCAAATTATATCTCCTATACTAACACCTTCTTGTTTTAAATTCTCCTCACTTAACTTTTCCTTGAAAGCTAATAGGTATCATTCTAATTTTCTGATCAATATCATCTGAATGGGATTTCCACTGGAGTAGAATAAAACTTCCGACACATACTTAAAGATGTCCAAGATAAGTGAATTATATCCTCCCTTAAAAGAAAAAAAACAAAACAAGCCTCACCAACCAGAATTTCCTTCAGTCCAGCCAAATACAATGTACAGTACATCCAGGTAGTTTGAGGATGAGATCACATGAAAGTGATGGGGGAGTTAGGAAACGACTATCACGTTAGAAACAGTTTCTGAAATAAGTCTGGTGATACAGTCTTGGAAAAAATGAATGTAATGTAAGAAATGAGCAGACTGAATGCTAGGCACACATGAGGGCTGTGGAAGCAGTCGATTAACGTGCTGGCAGCTATTGCTTCAAGAACAGATCTGGCAGTTCCGAGAAAATGAGACAAAAGCCATTTGGATTTATAATTCCAGCTCATCCAGCTTCAAAGCATTCCAGTGACCCTTCCCTCTTTTGGTGCTGAATGCTCTTTTGGGTTCTTACAATCAAATGACTAACTTTTGCTATTCCCTTTTACTTTGATGGCCAAATTTTCGTTCTTATCATAACCCACAGACTATCCTAATTTATTTAAAAAATTTGTCAGAACTTCATCCTTTTCTTATTTTCTGCCCGAGGAAACAAGATGCTGTTTCATTACCTTCAGTTTTTCCTCTTCCAAGCGTACCCTTGGAATGTTCACAACGGCTTATGTCACTTTATAACTTTGTAAGATTATTACCTCCCCTAGGTAGCACTTTATACTTATTGAAGTGTTTTTACTTGCATTACCTAACTTGATTAAAAAAATTTATGTGGTTGGCATGGGGGTATTTCAGTTTCTTTAGTTCTGTATGAAATCAGCATAAGAAGGAGCTCAGAAGCAAAGGAATCCAGAAGAGACATAAGCTCTACTTATAACGGCTAAAAATATCAGGAGGGACACTGGGAACTCCTTGTACGTGAGACTGTGATTTGAGTCCACTTAAACTATATTTTAAAGAACAAGTTGACCCTGGTGAACTGAAGGACTTGAAGAAAACCAGACAGATGACATCTGGGTTACATCTGGGTTATATAGGTAATGAAAGAATAATAAATGTTTGTTTCCAAGGTCTTCTTTGTAAGTCCTTCTCCTCAATAAGACAATGATAATAGCTGTGATTCACAGGCTCATGGGCCAATCTCCCCGAGGTAGGTCTCCTTAAGACTTCTTTAATGATGGCCTCTATATCAATAGATACATATGTTGCTTCAGCCAACTTTTTCTTCTTTACATGGAAACTCATGGTGATGCCCTACTTTATCTAAAGCTAAAGGAGATGGTCTGTTAAGTTTATTCTAGAAATTTACTTAATGTATGATGCATCAAGAATTGTTTATTTATTGCACACTCATTTCTACTTTGTGTAGAAAGTTCATTATATCTGTTTATTGGCCCTATTAGTTGAAGAACACAGATGTTATTCATTACGTAGATGCTTACCATTTACAAATAAAATCTAAGCCAATATTTATGATTTCAATGTTACTTTCCTTGGATGCCCAATTTACTTTCTTTCCAAAGATGATGTTCTTATCTAACACACATTTTTTATTCACCTGTGAATTTATGTATGTACATATGCATTTATTTCTGTGTGTATGTGTGTATTTCCTGTCCCATCCAAAATGGATGGAAAGGTTTAGAGAATCACTTTAAGAACATGATTTTTTTTCTAATGAATAAATTTATGATGACATCAGAGTGAAGAGATAATAATACTTTGGGTTTAATCAGCTGCATGGTAGGAAAATACATTCTTCTTTCTGTCCTTCTGTTGTAGTGCATACAGAGGTTTTCACACCCAGGGAAATCAGCTGAATTCTAAAAATGCATTTTCCTTTAAGTTTAAACCTTAAACAAGAACAATATTAAGATTAAATTGCAGATAAGCTCTAAAAAGTGAAATCTCACATTAGGATAATGTATAGACTTAGAAAGGAAGGGGAGGAACAAAGTATTTTCCTAAACTGAATCAGCTGGATAATGAGAACTATCTTAAATATAAGTGCTATTCCTACTTCTACCACCACTACTACAATATTACTGGCAACAATCATTTACTATGTAAAAAGCATGAAAATTCAATCCCTACATGCATTATCACACATAAACATCACAACAATCCCATTAGCCTCATTGTACATATGGAAAAACGACCTCTAAATTACATAAGGTCAAATTGCTAGCAGCATAAACAGGCTCATTGCCTTTACTGCTACCCCTAAATTTTAAAATTATCTCCACAATTCTAGTAAAGACATTAGAGTTAGTGGTAAACATGTCAGTGATCTCCTTGAGGACAGGGCCTGTAATATTTTCTTTATATTTCTCCTAGTGCTTTGCATAATCAGACCCTTAAGACATGTTTACTGATTTAACCAATTTTTAGCAGTCTTTGAAAAACACTCACTTAAAAAAAAGTAGGCATAGAAAGTCCTGTATTTCATGTGTTCTGAGTTCAATCATAATCCAAGCAACATTTGAATGTCTATCACACACCAGGCACAGTGCTGGACACGGAAGGGCACATAAAGATGCCTAAGGCACGGTCCTCCCTAATCAAGAGGATTATACTTGCAGTAAGCGCACAGCACTTCAGAATCTAGTCTTCTTTGAAAGTGTTGTTCTTCCATCAGCATCCTCAGCACTATCTGGGAGCTTGTTAAAAATGCAGAATCTCACACCCCAGGACAGAGCTCTTGAAACTGCATTTTAACAAGATCCCCAGGTGTTTCATGTGCACATTGAAAGTTTGAGAAGCACTCTTGTAGCATACTCCTGGGACATAACGTAGCTTAAAGTAATTAACAAATTAACTAATCTTTATATCTCTTTGGCAGTGAAGCCAAGGGACTATGTAACCCCAAGGAGAATCAGACCCAGAGACTTCACAGCATCTGGTGGTCACAGCAGCCTGAAGAACCAGAGTGAAAGACAAGCAGCAGGAAGCAAAAGGGATGGAGAAGAGGATCTGTCACATTTAGAAAGCTGGGATTAGCAACCTGAGCATTGTGACTGCAGAAAAGGAGAGAGCTAATAAACAAAGTAAGAGAGGACACAGCAGATCTGCAGGCTGTCGAAGGAAACGAGAAGGGGAGTGCTGGGCTGTGGGGGGTCTGGATGGGAGGTAAATACTCAGTCCTGCTGTATCTAAACAACCCTTGGAGGAACAAGGTTCCTGCGAGTGTGAGTGCAACAGACATGCTCCACAATTGCTCACACAGCTCAAGGTTTCTGGAAAAGGTGATCCCATGTGCCATGTACCTCTACCCCTACTCAGCCACAGGTCACACCATCCACAGGTGACAAGCACTGCAATGGATACCTGACCCAAAGACAGCCATTCTTCTGGCTTGTCCCTGACTTCTAACAGTGACTTTGCTCTAAAAGTTGAGCGGAGCCAATCAGCTTCTTGCTCTTGATAATTTGACATGGATAGTTGCCAGTTAGTGGTGGGCACAAGAGCCAATATAAATTCAGGGCAAGCAGCCAGACTGGAGTAAATACACAACGAATATACAGAAGAAATGGACAGAGAGGGGAGGGTTGGGAGGAGTCTCACAACAAGTGAGAGACTCTGTGGTCCCTGCGAGATGAAGAATGTGGCCTTAGTTTTCAGCATTCTAATTCTAGGTTCTCTGAGGTCCAGCTATACCTCGTTTTCTGCCTTTGAATGTCCATAAGAATGCCTGTGGGGTACACATACTTCTATAACCCCACCCCCTTTACATGAAGTAGCTTTAGCAGGTTTTTACACGCAACTATAATGACCACGGTTAAAAGAGAGGCAGTTAGTGAGTGATAAACAGAGAAAGGGGAATGAATGCACAATTAGTCTTTAAAACAGTGTCGCTCCTGAAGATGTAGAGGGACATCACTGCCATGTCTACCAGTTTTAGAGCTCCTTCTATACCATGGTTATGTTGCTGTCTAACTCTATGCATTGACAACTGCTTCAGAAGAAGCCAACGGACCAAAGAACAAGAATGAGACTCACCTTTTAGTACCTAAAATGTGCCCATATGCTTATATTAGTTGAAAAGATTGAGCAAAGAAAAATAATGACGTATCAGAGAAATATTGTTTCATCCACTTTAAAAAGAGCAGATATTTTAATTCACTGAATATTAAGCTGTCTAAAATTTTGAGGTACTCAGATACACTCCATAAACTAAAATACAGGCTTGTATTGTATATAATTAGCTCTTATTGAATGAGACAGTTGCCCACATCCCTGGCTCATTACAAAGGTAAAATATATTTATACATAAATTCCAAAGATAAATAGTGGAATCAAAGTATGAACACATTAGAGATAATTGAGGAAAACAGTCTGAAAATTATGATATCCTACATGACCTTTCCACCCCCCTCACTTTTTCCAGGAAACTCAAGTCTGAGCAGTCTGTTGCCGGAACAAGTTGACAATACTGTTGAAGTCTGTCTATTGGTCAGTGTCTGCCAACTTTGCTCCAGGTAGGTTCCAATGAATCAAGCCTCTTCAGAATTTAATTGGAATAAGGTCAGGCTGACTTGTTATTTTTGCATGTACTAATACTCTATGTTCCCACAAAACAAAATTGTTTGGTACTGGAAAATGTCATTGCCCTAGAGCGTTCAAAGGTGTCCTGCCCTTACCTCTTGCTCATCAAGCCTCTGAATGGATGGCTAAAAAGTTTTTTTCTGAATAATCATATCAACCTCTTGAATCTGGGGATAGTAAAATTATAGGTTTTTATAATTTTATAAAAAATAGATTTACAGAGAAGACCACAAGAATACAAGATTAATGTCCAAAAAATGTTTATCTTTTTGTGCCCCCCTCTCTACCCCATCTAACTTCAGGATTTCACATGGACAACAATCCTCACAGTATGACCACTGATAGGAAACAGCTTCAGGTGAGGCGAATCCCTCATCACACAGGCAGGATGCAGTACTTTCTGATCTTAGGTTAATGTCAGAGATGCAATTAATGTTGGAAATACAATTTTTATTTTTTGTGCTTTCAATCTGAGTTTATTTCAATAAACTCAAAGCCTTTAGGAACAGCATAGAAGAAACTGGGGGCCATGTGTCATGTTAGCATCAATGTTGCTTCCTTTTCCTGATGAAGCCTTTGTAGGCTTTGAAGCTTCCTCCCCAAATACTCTTCCAATCCTCCTGTGCATACTTCATTTATAGCCCATGAGAAATACGAAAAAGGTAGAAGACAAGAATGTAGTTGTGGGCCACTCTGTTAATGATGAAGATGTTTCAAGTGATAAACAATCCTGACAGCAATGGTGATGATTTCTTCAAGGGGCAAAAATCATTTGGTAGAAGGATAATCCAACTTTTAATTATTGACCCCATTTTACTGAACAGTAGTCATATTAGGCTGTCCTGGAGATTAGGCCCACAGATTCCTCTGGCTTTATGTGAAAGTTGCAAATGCTCTAAGAAAAAACTTCTAGAGTGTTCCCTGCAGGAGTGAATGCTCAGTCATATCCACATCTTGTATCATCTGTAGTGACATTAACATTTACAGCACACTGCAATAACTGATGTTTCTAAATGATGACTTAAAATCCTTAAGAAATTGTTAAAGTTAGCCATCCTCTGTTTAAAATACACTATACAATTCTTTGTGCTATTAGTAAAATTATAATCTTAAAATGCTAGAAATAACAGGACTACCATTTAACTATTGAGAAAACAAGGGTAAAGTGAGTAAATGAGGTGACACGTCAAACATTTTAAGGTCATTATCTCAAGTCGTAGATAACATAGTTGTGTCTCAACTCCAAAACTCAGTTCTGTTGCTGAGCCAGTTTCAATTCTGATATTCCAAATTTTGGGGGGGGGAGGGTGAGGAAGATTGGCCTTGAGCCAACATCTGTGCCAATCTTCCTCTATTTCATGTGGGATGCCACCACAGCATGGCTTGACGAGTGATGCTAGGTCTGTACCCAGGATCTGAACCTGTGAACCCTGGGCCGCCGAAGTGAAGCATGTGAACTTAACCGCTATGCCACTGGGCTGGCCCCCTGAATTTTTTATTAAACAAGTATTTAAGGATGTTGGTCTTCAGGGTAATGGATTCGCATATCAACGATGTGTTTTAGGATATCTAAATACCCTTAATATATTCATACTAGGTAGTTGCTGGGTTGGTCTATGATGTCACTGTTAATTAATATTTATTGAGTATTTTTATATGCTCTGTGATGTTGCAGTTATAGCTGGAAATTTAAGAAATATAAAAGGCATAACTCCTTTCCTGAAGGATCTTGGAGCAAGAAAAATACAATGTAGCAAAATGAGAACATTATAAAATCCCATAATACAGTGCCAACATATGAGAGATATTTAATAAATGTTAAAAAGCTTAAGAAATATGGGTCAAAATACCCAGGAAAATGAGATAGAGGTCATGGATTAATTTCAGAAAAGGAAATTAAAACTGGAAGTAAAGGATATGGAGGCCAAAATTTATCCACTCCATGGGGAAACTCCAGTTTTGATGGGAAAATGACACATTTCCTTTTCCTTGAAGCTTTGAAATCTTAAGGATTAGATCACACAGATGTAGAAACATTTTAGAAGCCCTAAGCTAGACACCAGATAGATAGATAGATATAAAGTGATCTCCTTTATGATTTACGTAAAGAAGCTTCTTAAAAGAAAATGATGTTGCTATTGAGGGTATATGTGTCGGAGGAAAGAACAGAGTGGGTAGAAGCCTTTTTTGGATTAGGATAACACTGTCTACAAAAAAAATAGAATGTTCTGTTAAGAATGAAGACTCTGAAACCAGACTATTTCGGTCAATCATAGGCATCCCTTTTATTGACTCTGTAACTTGGGGTTGTATTGAACGTCTCCATACCTCAGTTTCCTAAAAAATAAAATGGAGAGAACAACAGCATCTACCCTGAGAGGGTAGTGAGAACTGAATGAGTCAATACACGTAAAGCTCTCGGATCAGAGCCTGGCATGCTGTAGGTACTCAATAAAAGATAGCTACGATTATTATCATCACCTATTACTAAGCCCCAAATCCTCTTATGTATATGCAAGACTTAACCTGTATTTAAAGAAAAACAAAGATACTAAATAGTAGAGAGGGAGGTGTGAACATCTATCACCCTTCTCTATGTGTCAGGGAAAAGCACTGAACAGTATGAGTTCAAGGAAAGAAAAATCTTTCCCCCGGGGTAGGCTGGGAAGACCTCAGGGAAGAGCTGGGGTTGGATACCAGCTTTTTCCCTCTCGAATTCCTTACCAATCAGCAGATGTCTAACGTGATTCAGTCATGCAAATAAGATGAGCTGCCCACGTTCACAAGGCTCCGCATGAGAGGAAGGAGGAAAACTTTCCCTTTGCTGCTTTTCCCCGTGACTCATGTGTTCCTGCAAAACCAGCTGTTGAAACTTGGTTTCAATTTGAAAAGTCAAGGTAACGAGAAGCCATTTGAAAAAGGGCAGGTAATACTCAAGGAAGTCCAACATAACATGAAGGCGCCACCACAGGCTGGCAACTCGGCCTGGCCCAGAAGTGTCAGCAGCAGTAGACTGAGGGGTTGGTTCAGGATTTGAACTGATGGTTTCTAACCTGCTGTACTCCTGTTCCCATCCTCTCTCTTCCCCCAACCCCCAAAGCCTCCATGGAGAGGGCAAAAAGGGTGCTGGAGGGAAAAGGCCAATTAGCTGATGGTTTTCTAGAAAAGGGAGTTTCCAGCCTCTCAGAAGCCTGGATTCTGGATGGAGTGACTGCTGGAGGATTCCCCATGTTGACTATTAGAAAGCAAGGCATTATGAACGTCCCCATCAACCTGAGCTGCCTTGCAGAGGGATAACTGCGCTTCTTTCTTTCATTTAAAAATGGTTTTTCTTCATAGAATCTTAGAACTAGAAGGATAGTACAGGTCTTCCCATCCTCCCTCTGGCTTTAGGGGTGAAGAAATCAAGATGCAAGGTTTGCCTAAAACTCCTTGGTCAATGCTCTAAATGAGGCTCTGAAGTGTAAGTCAGACTTAACAGAAAATGTTTTCAGGGGTCATATTCAGCTAATAATCTAAAAATCCCTTTTGTAGGAAGTGTCCCTAGTGTTTTATTTTATACTGCATGCGAATTCCTAGGGACTAGGGGACTACTGAATAAATCACAGGATGAAACACAAAACATGCATATTTCTGAATATAATACTTGATAGTAACGATCCAGGCAGCTTAGACCGTACTTTTTCCTCCCGTGAGATAATTTTTAATGATATCACATATTAAAATTTTTGCAAAATATAAAAATTCATACAAAAGAATAAATTTCATTCATTCATAAGCCCCCCTCCCACTGAGGCCCCTCCCCTCCTCAGAAAAAAAACTGGCTTCAGTTGAATCAATATTTTATCATAAGGAATTTATTTTTGACAACAGGATGTTCCTGTTATTTTCAAGTCCTGTCGTTTCAACAACAGGATTTCAGGGCAGTGCAGTGAAATGGGAACAGCAGGGTATTATTAATTTCTGAGCACAATCAGGAATGCGTGAGAAAAATCCAAATAGTCCAAAACCTGCCTTAAAAAATTTAAGGCTATCTCCTTCATGAAATTTCTAAATTTCTTCTCATTTAAAAATAAATCATGATCTAATTGGCAGTAAAGATTTTTGGCTGAGGTCCTTAACTTCTTAATTGTAGCCAAACTTCTCATTGGGAGAGCTGGGCCAGCTCATGTCTTCAAAAACTTGCCTTTATTATGGTTTACTAGTTTGCTCTTTTCTTTCTTTCTTCAAATAAAAGCTCCATGTGCCTCAAAATGGAAATAATTTTTAAGACATGCTGAAAATTCAAGAGTGTGATATGTGTGCCATCTGGGAAAGTATCCTGTACTTTCAAATGATAACATCTTACCAAATGTCAGGACTGCTCTTCACGACTCATTTGGAGGCCTAGTCCTCAGGGGTGGGGAGAGGAGGCAGGAGAAATCATCTCTCAATCAAACACTTGCCTGAAGATTCTGCTGCCTGCTTTCAGTAGGAACAGAGACTAATCGAACTGGGTTTGATCATGGGTAGAAATGCATCAAAACCCACTAGTGTCTGGGACATTCTGAATTGAAGACAAGATGACTATGATGATTTCACAAAACAAAGAGTGAGAAAGCGAAGTGCTTACAGCTGAATCACACAGGCCTGGCTTTGGATCTTGGCACTACTATTTAATAGCTATGTGACTATGGGTGAGTGAAGTTACCTCTCTGAGCCTTGGTATCCTTGCTTACAAAATATGCATAAAATCTATTTTTTTCATAAATGTGTTGTGAGAATTAACTGAGATTAATTTGATTAAAGTGCTTAGCACTGTGTCTAGTATGTGGTAAGGATTCAATAAAGGATAGCCATTACCATTCATTTTAGCATGTGAATTGGTTGAATTTGCCGAAACACTGTAAAGCTTACTCATGTACAGAAATTATACACGGCATTCAAGCATTTA